TACAACAAAGGGAACTTTGTCTGCCAAGAGCGACTTAAACGATTGAGCATTGGCCAGATTCAATCTAGAAAAACTAAACAAAAGAAACAAGCAAACACATCTGTATAGTATTTTCTGTGCTGGTTGCATTTAAACGATGTAATGAACAAAAGCACCAAATAATTAACAAAATCTTTTTTTTTTTGTCAATTTGTTTGTGTCTTCTTGCTTTTTTGTAGTTGTTTTCTTATGTACAATAAAAAAAGTTTTGTCAGTTCACCTTAGAAAATGTACTTTGTGAGGTAATATATGTAATAACTGGGTTAATAACAATGGTCCCTGTGGTTAGTGTTTTTTTTAGGTTAGTGTGTTATGATTGAAATGCATGTTTTCGGATGAGAATGTTGCCAGTGTTATGGTGGAATGAGCTTATTTTGAGACATATATAAAGTGTTTTGTTGGTCTGAGATTAATTGTTTGGCCAAGATTCATCCAGGTAATGCAGACTGTATGAAGAGTTATGAAAATGTGGCCTCAGTATTGACCAATGCTTATTCTGATTAAAGTTTTTTTTATTGATTCACAGTGTCATCCAAGGTGCCACACAAAACATATGTACAAAACATATGCATTTTTTTTTACCCTAAGATTCTCCCACCCCCTCCCACCCGACTTGGTCACAACATCACTATACACTTAAGTATAATTAAGACAATTTCCGGCAAAACCATATTGAGAGAAAAAAAAAAGAGAAAATAAATAAATAAATACATAATAGCATACATACATATACCATCGTAGTTTCACTTTCAAGTGTGAGCATGGATCTAGCTCAATGATTACAGTCTGATTTCCAAATAGGTTAAGTATCTAAACCATTTCTTATAATATAAATTCGCGTTATCAAACTGATTATAAGACATTTTCTCAAATGCAGACACTCTACCTAGTTCCTGAAGGAATGGGCCTCCTCTGACTTCCAGCTCCTGAGAATTATTTGTCTGGCAATCATTAAACTGGTTTGTACCCAATTCCTCATATGTTTGTCTTTTAACTCATAATCTGTCCATACACCCAATACAAACAATTGAGGACCAATGCTTATTAGCAATTGATAAAAAAAAATGTAATGTGTTTCATAACCCCAAATCACAATTTCTCATTGAAGCAAAATTCACAGGTGCATGTATCGAATGTGTCCATCATGAGCTTTATTGGAAATTGTATGTTGGGTCAATGGTACTCAAAGGTAATGGTAAGTTATACCCGTATTCCCTTGTTTTATATTGCATCAAACTGATTGAAGTAGGATACAACAACAAAATGAGAATATGTATGTAGAATCAGGTAGAAACCTGCAACAAATGTTCATATTTGTTTTTTAATTTTTATTATTGTAGTCATTTATGTTGTACAGATATCAAAAATCTACAATATCAACTATATTATTTTTTGGTTATGTGTCTTAAACTGCTGATTCATTTCACGTGAATTAAAGTGTATTTTAGTTAAAATTTTGTAAACTATGTTTATCTATATCGACGTAAATTATCACACTTTACAACACTGGGTATTTCTCAGGCTCCAGGTTTGCAGATGTGACAAAAAAAAAAAAAAAAAAAAGGTTGTATGACCTAGTGAACCTTTGCTTATGCTATTTCCTGTCATGTGAGACAGGTCAATTCAAGCACCACAGAGCTTCACACTGGGCTTGTCCCACAAAACCCATGAAACTCATCTTGAAATTTTTAAAATTGATTCTTAAATTTTATCAAACACACCAATTGCTGAAATACCCAACAGAACAGGACGATGTGAGAAATTTTCCAATAAAGGCAATACTGGAAGACTGCTGTCTCAGTGGAATAATCTTTAAGCATTTGCATGTTGCAGAGGGACCATTTGTCTTCATCACAGTGTAAATTTTCTGCCAAAACTTTCAGTTTAGGATGATTTATAACCATTTTGAATGGGCAGCCTGGGGCTTAAGACTTGATGGGCTGCTCTGGTATGTCCTGAATGAAAGAGACTGAGTTGCATGTCTCTGGTTTTGGTAGGTGGTCACATCAGTCACTTTTAGCCAATCCCCCACACCTCTAAATTTAACCACAATTACTTAATTTACCCAATTTTACTAATCACCCTACTAATTGGGAAAGCACTTTCTTGTGTTCCATTCTCTGGATGAAGTAAAGAGGAGCACTCTTGACTAGGGTTGGGTATCGTTTGAATTTGAACGATTCTGATTCCGATTGCGATTCCTTGTTTCGATTCCGGTTCCTAACGATTCTCGATTCCGATTCTTTTAAGAGGCAGGGTCAAAAAAGTGTAGCTAACCTTGCTAACCAACGGCCTTTCTGAAGGAAATAATCCTTTCTGAAGGAAATACTCCTTCTGTAAAAATACTCCTTTTGTCACAAATTTTGCATTTTGCCAAGATTTCGTTATTTTTAGAAAAGTGAAGCCACACTTTGGATCGCCGACGTAAGGTACTCATGTTCGACTCGCGCGGTTATGCCAACACTTCCGGTAGACGCTTCTTCGTTGGTGTTGTTCAGCGGTTTCTTCTTCCGCTCAGCGGACTGTGAATATCGAAACTAGGAATCGAAATTTTAACTTTTGAACGATTCCGGGAAAAACGAAAAGTTAGTCTCGGTTCCAATCGATACTCGATTCTCGATACCCAACCCTACTCTTGACATTATGAAAAAAAAAACCAAGAAACATTTAGCCTACTTGATCATCTCAGGATTCATTATCTTGAATCATGCAGATACAAAAATGGCGATTAAATAACAAAACAAACACCTAATTTTGTCTGAATTTTGTTGAGTGTGAGCAAAACTTTATAGGGTGAACAGAAACAACTCTCACCTGAAACAAACTATTTACAACCGTAGTGTGTTTTGATATCTTGCATGACTGAGTTACATAAATTCAATTCATAAAGCTCCATGAGGGACAAAGAGTGGGACAAATAATGTTCGTTTTCTCACACAAACCGCTCGTTTCGTGTCTTAGGCCATCAATGCGTACTTACATTTACGAGTCATTAAATCATGTTTAATTTTGACTTCTCTGTGCATGCTTTTTGGTGGACCCCCTTAGCCTCCAGTGTATGACTGATAGACAACAACGGTTTGACTGAAAATTGTCAAAAATACTGTGGAAACAAAGACACCTACATCTTGGAAGCCCTTGAGGTAAGCTAAAACATATCAACAATTAATTTCAAAGTGAACTATCCCTTTAAGTCCTCTCTCCTACCACAATAACGTGACACTTCTGCTCTGAGCAGGCGGACTGCTGGTAAAGTTCATATTTGAGGGCAAAAAAGAGAGAAAAAACACTGCACAAAATCATATCGTTTGGTTCCGTGTTCTGTAACGGGTCGTGGTTGTATTAAGCGCACGACAGAAATGGAATGAAAACGAAACACAACTAAACCATACGCAGAACTTAATCCTGATACTATGAATTGTTTAATGCATTTTGCATATGAAATATTGTTGTGTCAAGCTGAAAGATGGTTAGGAAAACCGTGTGAAGAGTTTTGAAAAGGTGACCTAAGTATCAGGAAATGTGTCCTAGCGATTGTAAAAAACAACAACTCAATCGGTTAATAGATGATAGATAGGTGTAGATAGAGTGTAGCTCACATAATTTTAAAGATTTGTAAATGTATATACAGAAACAGACAATGCCTGCAGCTCATCTGCAGACACAGTATTTTACAAGCCCTTGGTGTGATTCACACTATTCAGTCTTTCCACCTCCACCTGGCAGTCACATCAAGTGTATTGTTACCTCTGTGTGGACATCTTCCCAAAGCCCAGGGAGTGCTTGAGAGCATGACATAAGTTAAACCCATTGCCATTTCAGGGAATAGTCATGCTGTAAAACTTATTTAGGATGTTCAGGCTGCTTTTTTCCCCATACTGTACAGTGACCAAGGTTATGCAGCATTTGGAGATTGAATTGATGAAGCAAACCATAAGGATAAAAAAAAAAAAAAAATTAACGTATAATTTAAATGATAGAAAATTAAAGAAACTAAAGAAAGTTTAATTTGGAATAGAAAACCAAAGAAATCTTCAGCAAATAAAATGTTGCAGGTTGGCTTGACTGAGCAGTAAATTGAATTTAGAAAGTTTTGAAATTTTGAAGTTTAGATAGACAGACAGACAAACATAACATTTTTTGAATGATATTAAGATAATGAAGACTATATCTCTTTAAAACCGATTATGGCACCATTGTGCACAGTTGTGCTGCATGAGATAAGTCCTGTTGAACACATATCCCTCATAAATAGCATTGCAGTGAACTTCCAGGAATTCTGCAACATTTAGTAAAGGTCTTGTCCTAGTCTACACATGACTGGAGCTTACAGATGGAATCCTCTCCACCTGTGGCTGAGTGGAATAGAATATGTTGCTGCCAAGACTGCACTCTGTCTGCGATGAGAATTTTTTTTTGGACAGCCAGGGAAGACGGCGTCTGGGTTCAAGCCGTCATCAGTCCAAGGTTTTCCCAAGACTGCCATGGGCACAATTTAGAGTTGTCAGCAGTGTTTGAGATAGATATCTCCTGCCAAGGCTATGGCTATACGAACAGAATAATGAACTCTTTTTACAGAACCGTGAGTTTCATCTCTACCCTGACCCATGAAATCATCTTTGATTTACAGCCCAATGTGACAGCATGCACTGAGGGAATATGTTGGAACGATGCAGACATGTTTAAGTGCACAGTCTAGACTTCCACTACGTGGCTACTTCATTGTGCTTACACTGTATATGTCATAAACAAAAAGCTTCTCCATGGCAATCCTGCTTCCTGATGCAGCATAGACATAATTGTTCTATTCATCCCTCATCATCTGCTGATGAAATAGCAGGACAAAGTCCAAGCAAGGTCCTAGTGCATAAGAACAGTATAAAGTCTCAGGAATTCCCCTCATCACTATACTAACAGATGCCAGAGTTAGAGAGAGAGTGAGAGAGATTCATCAGTCATATATTTATTTTTCAAGGACATGATGCTTACAAAGGAAACAGCATGTTGGATATGCATTATAAAGTATTTTATTTTATTTGGCACAAACACAAAAGATCTTTATGAAAATACTGCCTTAGTAAAAGCTCTCATCAATTACAATCTGTTGTTTATTGTAACACAAAAAAGCTTTACTCATCATCACATTGGCACTTTTGTATATGATTCATTCAAATCATTATCTTAAACATTTGGTAAATGTTAAAATAACGCTGGCAAATAAAATCAGGAAATGAAGGCATGGCATTACTTGGAAATTAAGGTTTGCCACCACTAGAAAAGCTGATTTGCAAATGCTCTGGGCATTGATGGATGACATAAGAGTGTGTGAAATAATAACAATCACTAGAGGCAACTGTGCCTCAGTTTTGTGCAAATGTTTCTGTCAATTTCTGGAGAATTTGCATAGAAATGTGATTTTGACACATGCTGAAATTGCATAGATTGTGTGGGACAATTCAAAACATTCAACTGAACCAGCAAAAGATACTTATATATATTTTAAATCATGTTAGAAAACCATAAATCTTGGTGTTGTATAAATAGACTGGTCATAACTCCATGTAATACTTATTATAATAACACAGGTTCATCACCCTTCTTGTCAACAAATAACTTATCCCTAGATTTGCCTTTTATTGCTGTCATCACAGAGACAAATCCAGCTTCTTAATTTCACATTTTGGTCAGACAGGCAAGTCTTCCTCATATTTAATGAAAATAGAAAATCGTTGGTGGCAAAGCAAAAATAAAAAATAAAAATAAACAAGTCTATATAAAAGGCAATAAAATACATTATGCAAATACAAAGTACAGCACAATCAAAAAAAATACTCAGAAGTTCTGCTTTGGATTTCAGTCTAAAAATGTGTACATAATATATTTTATATATATAAAACAAACTAAGGTAAAAATCATAAATTACTTACGAAAAAAACTGAGTCTCATCCGACGCTCACACAATGCAAACATAACCATTGAGGTATTTTGTTCCTTAAAGTTCTATATCAAGCATTATGCATATTGAGAGTGAACGTGAAAGTGCAAAGAATACTAAAACATCAAGAGTGTCAAAGCTCACATGTTACAATGTGTTTCCTTTTTCACTGCAAAGGAATGTCCTTATTAACAGTCACAGCAGCACTGATGTCTCTTTTCGGCGTCACTTCCTGTCACCTGCGGAGAGCCCGCCTTCATATAGCAGTCTGAGATTGTTTTTAATGTAAACGTAGAAAGGATGAAGGACACTGGGAAATACTACACATCAAGAACCATGTCATACTGTTGTCCTTTCTTCCTCTTGCCACACTTCATAATGAGGACAGCATACAAAGTCAAGAACACGACCCAGTAGCTGGCATACACGATTGCGCCGATAATCAAAACTATTTTTTCAGACTCTGGGAACGGCTTCCGGGTCTCTTGGATTATCGAATATATAATGCCAACAAAAAGAATGGTGAACCAAACTGAGATCGGAATAAGTCCGATAAAGTTCACCACGACGGTCTTCCTTCCAGACGTTCCCCAACCGGATTTGTTTATGGTGGCTATTGCAAACATCTTTGCCGGTAGCAGACTTGACATGTATAACACTGAGTAGAAGGACATGAAGACCATGACGATGTTTCCACGGAGGCAACTGGCAAACGAAGCCTTGATGAGCGCCACGACCTGGACGATCAGCAGGAACAGAAGGATGTTCCAGATCCTGCCCTGGTAGAAGAGCTGGATCGCAGTGGCGATGAGGAAGAAGGGGAAGAAGCCGGTGATGACGGCCTCGTAGGTCATCCACAAGTGGTGCTTGTGAAACCACATGGAGTTGTAAAGCCACTCTCTGAAATACGATTTACTCCAACGGGTCTGCTGGTTGAGCCAGCGCAAGTAGGTGATGGGTGTCTCGGTCAAGCACTTGGAGCGGGCGGTGTATTTCGTAGCATATCCCAGGCTAAGGACTCGATTGGTCAGATGGCGGTCATCGCCAAAACTGCAGTGGCTTCCCATGAATGTCTGATTGTACCAGTCCTCCAGAAACTCATGAAGCAGGGAGTTCCTGTACATCCCCAGTGGCCCACTGATACACTGAACGCACCCGAAATATGACTGGCAAGCTCTTTCGATGTTGAACGCCATCCAATATCTCACACTGCTGAGGAAGGAGACCCATGATTCATATTTGTTCAGAATCTAGAGGGATAGATTAACAAAGAGAATATAAAATCAAAGGCCTGTAGTTCATCATATACAATGTCACATGTCTTGGTCATCAGCCACACTGTGTGTACTGTGTTTGAAAATGAATCAGAAATCAGAATGTAGAGTGAAACACTAAAGAACCGCGAGAACCCATCAAAGATTTAAAGGCTCTTTGTACAGGATGTCCAGTGATGTGCTTTTCTGTTGACATCTGAACACAGCAGTTTGGTGTGGGAATATTTAAGTATCATGAACAATCGATTTACCCTCCTCCACCCCCAAAAACAACAACTCCCCTGACTATCCATTTGAATAATGGCTGGGGAAAAACCCTGAATTCAGATTTTAAAGAGTTTTTTTTTTTTTTTTCAGTCCATGTTGCTATACTAAAGTTTTGCACTATATGTAACAAACAAACAGTGTGTTTACACTAACTCTCAATGTATAATATAAGATATCATAAAATAAATGACATTTAATATCAAAGGAAACATATTCCTCATTATGGATATTAATTGCTCCGAAATTATTTGGACACTTATCACAGCATTAGATAAAATATCTAAACCAAATGGAATCCACAAACAACAAGTTACTTTTGAAGTTTATTTTTCAGTTACTTTAAAAAAAAAAAAAAATAAGTCTACCTATGTATGACAAAGAGTTCATTTCAAAGTTTGCTTGTTAAACATACTGCCACACTTAAACTTGAAATGAAAAAAGCATATATGCCATATGTCATTTAAATGTTTGATGAGTTATAGTGATACAGTAGAATTAAAACTGAAACAGAACACATACCTGCACATCTCCGCCTACTCCTCCAACCATGGGATCTTCTTCCAGAACCTTCACCATCTCCACTGAGGAGGCCGGGTCCAACATGGTGTCTGAATCACACACCTGCATTCAGCACAATATACAAACATCAATAAAGGATACACACTAATTAGTAAAGTCTTTTTGTCCCCTTTAAAATATGAACATTCATCCATTGATTGAATGAACACTGCCCTTATGACGTCTGCCACGCATAGTGTCCACTAGAGGATGCAGTGTCTTGTTCCCCTTCTCAGGGAACAATGGTTACATGTGTAACCTGTGACGTTCTCTTTCAAATGGGAACTCGCACTGCATCCTCAAGTGGACACTATAGGAAATGCCTCATAATGTCCACTAGGTGATACAGTGTCTTGTTCCCCTGTAGCCATGGCTCCCTAATGCCGAGTTCAGACTGCATGATTTTGACTCGCCGACAGGTTTTGACAAATCGCCGACAAATGCCCGAAATCACAGGCAAATCGGTGCTCGTTCATGCGAGTGACAATCACGCAGTGTGAATGAACAAAGACGAGGTCTGAGAGAATCGCCGCCGAGTCGCCAACGCCCGTGAGATATTTGGCATGCTAAATATCTGGACCTGTCGGCGATTCAAAATCCTGCTGTGTGAAAAGTGTTCTGACTGAAACTACATCGGCGATTACCGACAGCCAATGAGAGAGCAAGACACAGAGCAGTGGGGAGTTCGGGGAGGAGTAACAGATCACATATCAACATGCATGGCATTGTTTCAGAAAAAAGGCTTCTACACGGTCTATTTGAACACAAGAAATGTTAGAAAAATTAGTCGAAATTTGGCAGGAGCTCTCGTGTCTTTTTGACGTTTAATCTGAGCTGTACCACGTGAGAACTCTGGTCTTGCACGTGTGATGTCGCATTGTTTCCTGTCACATCTCACGTGTTTGTTGTGAAACGTAGTTTGCGCGCAGAGTGTTAGACGGAGTTGTCGGCGATTTTTCGTCATGCAGCGTGAAACCTTTTGTCGCTGATCCATCGTGCAGTGTGACCAGCACCAACTGAATGCTGGTCAAGATAGAACAGCAACCCGACTACTTTGAAAATCGTGCAGTCTGAACTTGGCATAAGACGTTCTTCTAGGTTTTAAGAACTTAAAACTTCCTTACGTCATTACTGATTGCACAATTACTTGGATTACATAAGAGGACATTTGATCACTAGTTTTGCCAATAAAGCTCCAGAAAGACATTTTGTACAAAAGTAAACAAAAGTAAATATCCTCAAGTATCTACCAAAGCCAAAAAAGAGTCTATTTTACAATGTGAAAACACATGTATACATCTGTTCCCAACTGTGTGGCATTATTAAATTCTTCAAAATAATTAGTCTCTTTTGGTTGTAGCTCGTAAAAATCCAAGAGCAGAAATTACATGTTTAGAATAAACCACCATGTGACTTATTTATGAACCTGTATTTATGTGACATGTTCCACTAAGCTAAATAACCACTAAATGCCATGAGCTAATAGTATGTGCTCTGAGATGACATATACCAGCGATCTGTTCTGCAAGTGCCAGAAATAGCCCCGGAATATGCAAACGATTTCCCACAGAAGTCCCTCAATGAACAGCATCAGTGTTAACCAGGAATGTACTTTCCTCACCCTCAGTGCACTACATGTTTCAGCCTAGCATCCATTTAAGAAGTCACAAAAGCTTCTTTGTACAATTTGCCTGTGTTGCCCCTGTGTACTTGGCTGGAGCCGCCTGAGAGAGATAGACTCACCTGTACGTAGTCGACACTTCTTCCCAGGGCTTTGAAGGCGGTGTACATGACCTCCCTCTTCCCGCCCCACTTCTGCATGATGCACACACATTTATTGTTGAGAACCAGGCGAGAAATGTGCTGCAAGCTCTCGGCATACAACTCTTCGGTTTCATCCGGTCCTTTCTGGTGGTAGTTGCTTTTCCAAATATAAGTGGCTGCCTTGTCGCGGCCCATGATTTCCCGAAAGATCTCCATCATGTAGCAGTCGTCATCATTGTTCCCGTCGATAACCATAATGACCTTTATCCCGGGGTAGGTGAGCCTCTTCACAGATATTAAACACTTTCTTAGATAGTTGGGGTCTTCCTGATAGGCTGCGACGCAAAGGGCCAGTGACTTGTTGAGTTTGATCGGAGTTTCCAGGGAGCGTTTCATGTTCCTGTGTTCCAGTAGAGCAAAAAAGCTCTGAATGATGAGGTGAACGACGAGAATTGCTCCATAAAGACCAAAGGACAAATAGTTCCCTGCAGTCGTTATGAGTTTATACCCCATGATATAAGCAGTAGAGATTCCCACAAGCAGCGAAATGCCGAACAGCGTTGTCCCAACAATCCTTAAGTAGCTGATCGCTTTGTCACATCTCATCTGAAAAAACAAAACAAAAACAATTGGATATCGAGGGATGAATGATATCCATACTTTTTAATAAACCAAAAAGGTTCTTCTGCAGAACACAAAAGAAGACCTTTAGAAAAATCTCTGTTTTGGATCCCATTTACTACTAAGAATAAAAAAGTCCCTCAAAACATCTTCTTTTGTGCTTTGCAAAAGAATAAAACTCATGCAGATTTGGAACGACACGAGGGTAACAAGTAAACAATGACAAAAGTTTTGGCTGAACCTTCCCTTTATGAGCAGCTTAATGGACAGCACTCATGAATGAAATTAAAGCAGACTTGTGGACAGCTTTGCGGTGGCAATGACATGCTTTTTGCTCATATACAAGCATAGAATACATGCATCTGTTCTTGCCGCAAAAGCAGCAGTATATTTCAGACAGCATCATATTTCTTCCTCTTTCCTCCTCTTCTGAATGTGAGCGGTCTTTATGACCATTTGTTCCAAGTTTCCTAACTAATACAGTTCCCCATCTGCTTGGCAGACGTGACTATGCAGCACCACCCTCTGACATCATCTGTTTATATCTCCGTGGGAACGCATGAACAGTGAAATTTAGATTTCAGAGGGCTGCACTAAAGACCCTCTGTCTTATTACTGCTGAAGACGGCCATTGTATTAATGATGGCGTCTTGTTTTATCGACTCTCAACATTCAAATCTCATTTTTTATTTGATATTATGCCTCTTGGTTTAGATTTTACGGCGGTTCTGGTCTGGGAGCGAGGCTGATGTGATGGACTACAGCACAGTGTGAATCTAACTGGCACGTGTCACAACCTTGAACGTCATCCTGCATGTTTACGAGGCCCTCTGGACCCTCAAAAACCCCACCTTATCCAACAGACACGTGCAAGCCTGTTGGATTAAGGGCCACATGTGGTGTTAATGTCTCAAACGGCTGTACTACTCTTGGGGTATCCCTAAACCTCTTTGCATGTCTTGTTCAAACTCTGCATGAACCCGAAAGACTAATTTGAAACTTCTAAGACTGCTGACAAGACAAAATGTGGCGCACACCCAAAAAGACACTAAAGCTAACCACGGTCAAATGGGATATCAGAAGCATTGCTGTCTTTGTAAATGACCTAATTTCTAATGTTTACACAAAACTGGTGCAGAAATTGTCTCTAAGGATGAATGTGCAGGGTTTACAAGTGCAGATTGACTCGTCTTGTTGCGAATGGGGATGTGCGTCCTATAAGATAATCCTTTTGATGAAGTGGTCCTGTGTGAAACATTTGCGATCAATAGATTTTGTCTGACTGAATGAAATATGGTAATTTGCAGTAAAGGCCCATTCACACCAAGGACAATAACTGTGGCCATAAAGTTGTAATAATCATTCTAATTCAATGAGAACAGCCACACTATAACGATATCAACACAGAGGAACGATATCATTGGAATCACTTTGAAAACTTCTTTCTTCCAGCTGATGGCTGATACAAACATTGACAGCCAATCAGACTCACGAGCGCACGCTTATAGTAAACTGAAGATTAACATCCATTAATGTGGATGGAAAAGCTGTCATTATTGTCTTTCTTATCATTCTGAAATAGCAGTTACATATATAATGCTTTTGTTTGCATTACTAGTCGTGTATATCATCTGGCCATGATCCAACAGAGCAGGGAGGAGACACTCTTGGATCACTGAGAGTTGAATCATCCTCAATGGGGAAAACTATAACTCTAGCTTTGAAGGTAGATTAAATATTGCAGTGCAAGAAAAATACATTTGCACTCGCCAAAAGGGACCCAGGCCTGCAACGCCTCCTGAGCACCACCAGAAAATGACTTTGCTTGACTCTTATGCATTAAAATGTTATTAATCTAGAGAGGATTTTTACACTATGCCTGAATGTAGGGGGAGGTAGATTGTTTAACTTAATGGAGACAGAGGATTTGTTCATCTTTATCCTCAGATTTGGAGGAGATTCCTTTAGACAAAGCTTCATTTAAGTCGTGAATGGTCATCAACAACAATTGATATGCAGCAGGAAATCCATGGCTCATAGCTAAATACTTCTTTTGAGGAACTGAAAAGTAGGAGATAATTTGAACTTAACGACTGTGGATGCTGTGAGAGTTGTCTTCGAAAAATAGCAAAAGTACTTTGGTGATCTTGTATTCATTTTTTTTTTTTTTTTTGTGCTGATCCTGCATTCATAAACTGTCATATGGTTTAAATATTTTGATGTTAAAATAATAAAAATAAACTAAATATGAATAATAAAACAAATACAATATACAATATTATAAAATATGAATTAATAAAGAATTAATTTAAGTAAATAAAACAATTAGAGTACTTAAAAGAGACAGACATCTTTCAAAGATTTGTGCAAACTTCCTAGTAGCACAAACTCTATAGCTAATGGGTTTTCTCATCAAATAAGTTGTTTCACTGAAATTGTGTTGGTGGGAATTTTGGCTCAGAGACAAGGCTAGAGACACTGCCTTGTTGCTCGAACTGCCCTTTTGAGACACCCTAGTGTATTCCTAGGCATTGGAGGAAGCTTCTGCTTCTCCTAAGTGGGTGGTTATGAGGTGACGGGGAATCTAGGAACTTGGGGAACTGCCACAGCTGCCTCCTAAAGGATATATCCAACCACTAGCACTGAGACACATCCATCACTCTGCAATGGCTCTGTGGTGTGGCTTTGTCAGACTTTATAGTTGCCAAATTATTCAGGCTGCTGCCACCAGGTCAGAAGAAATAATGTGGTATTTCCACAAGTTGCCTTGAAGGCTAACTGCCATTAGGTTGTTGCATGAACTTTTACCAGTGGTACCCTGGACTTGACACACATTCTTTTTGTCTGTGCTAGACTGTGTAGTCTTATCCCAGGCACATGGCCAAGGTCGTAGCCTTATGACCTCCAAATTCAGCCAGATTTGCAATGACACAACCACACACCCTGCATGCTTACAACAGGCAATATCTGCAAAATGCTGAGGAAGTTTGGCATCAAATTGATCAAAATAGTCTCGTGAGGGTTTATTGTTCCAAACCTGTATGAATTTTTTTTTTCTGCTGAGCGCAAAAGACGATATTTTGAAGAATATGGGTAATTACGCAATGTACGTTTCACTAGCCTTTTCAAATAACCGCAAAATTTGATTAGCCTACAAGTTAGTCAAATCACATTAAAAGACTGAAGTTGAACAGAAGTCGCGTTCTTCAAGAGGTGATGATAGGTTACCATGATGGTAGGCTAGACTGGCTTCAGTTTTGAAACCTAAGTTAAAAAAATATATATTATAACAATAAGGTGACATAGTTACATGTTGTTACATGCACTTACCAACAGTAAATTATGCTTAATTAACAGTAATTAAACCCTAAACCAAACCCTAACCTTAACTCTATAGTAGGCCTTCTGTTAGTAGCCTACATGTAATTATATTACTCAGTACTTATTGAAGTAAGTACAATGTAACTACGACACCTTAAAATACTGTAACCAAAAACATTCATATATAGGCCTATACCTATCAATTTATTACAGGCTTATTTTAGAAAATGACATTTGTATAAAAAGTTCATGTTTAGTTTATATTATTTCACGTATACATTGTATCTCCCGAGAGAGCCAACTGAAAATCGTCATTACGCATCATTACTAGCCCGGGATGCGTCACACCATTACAGCTGCTGCTGGACTGCGCGCAATATCTGTTCTGTTCTATTATAGGTCAGAGTGTCCATATGGGGTTTAATTGGCCCTTGTAGAAATACACAAAAAGGTTTAAGTAAGTAAAAGTATTAAGCCGATGTTGTTTAGAAGCTTAAACTTGTATGAGACCTGACAGAAAGAGCAGCTGATGCATACCAATACTGCTGTAAAGATAAATATATAGCTAATGCTATAAAAATGTCAGCTGTTATTTATCAGTTTTTTTTTCAGTTGAGTCTTACTAAGAAATACGGTGAGAGATATTAAATAGCCTACAAAAAAAATTAAATAAATAAATGGCACGTGTATTGCAAACACTTATGGCTGAACTCCATTCATTCAAATTCACCCCCTCATGAATGTTTAAAATTCCATTATAACATGAAATGCACGCACGTATAACTATTAATCTAACAGAGCAAAGTATAGCTTATTATTAAAAAGAGTTGTGCACTGAATAATTCGTTATCTTACCTTGGAGCAGCTATATGAAGATGTCCCGTTAGTTTAACAGGGAGGCTGTCCGACGAGTCTCTGGACTTTCCAGACACTGCACAAAACTTCCCATACAAGTTTGTGGGCAAAAAAACAGAGGAGACCGACATGGAGCATGGAGCTTGTTTCGAATTGCAAAGATGTGCAGTATCCACGTTTTCCATATAACGAATGAACATTCAAGTTTCACTCCTCCTACATCATATACAGTTTGCATCATTCTGCTGTGATGAGGTCTGTTGGAGCATCTTGGCAGTTCAGTCTGACTTTGTCAGCTGATAAAATAAAATAAAGTTATCCAACAGTAGTCAATGTTGGTGACTCAAAATGTAGCCTAATTGATTCAAGTTTTTCCAAGCGTATAGATTTTAAGTAGCCAAGTTAACTGTCCTTTTCTGCGTCTAATTTCTTTCAGACGCTTTAGGTTTATGTTTCCTGTTAGCAATACATTTTCGAGACTCATTTGACCGGGCAGGGTTTTGGACTTGTTTTAATAAGGGGGTTGGTTCGGGGGCGAGGAGGAGCGAACATCTAAGAGAGAGAAAAAAAAAGTGCTGCCCATTCAAACTTCCGAAATGGGGGTGGGTATGAGTTTATCAAGCAATTAGACAAACAGTCTTCAGCTAAAAAAGAAAAGGAAAACTGTACGTTATAAAGATAGCCTAATAATAATTAATATAATGAAAAAATGATATTTTTTCAATTCCACAGAAAGAATATCATAAATAAAACTCACCGGATAACTTTTTAATGCTCATAGGTTCTCAGTTGCGCTCGTGATTTTAAGGGCAGGAAGGGTAGCCTATTTACCACCAGAGCGCGCCATACAATTCGAAATGTGTTCACATTCAATACAGTGGAAGTTGGTTTATAACAGGCCTACTGTCAGTGATGCAGACTTTGCAATGTTTTTGACATACGAAGACGAAGAGCCATTGAATTATATTTTTTATACAAGCTTGTCTTTATGCTCAGTTATTTTACTTTAGTGGCAAAGATTAATTGTCATTAAAGTGAAATTAATATACGAGCTTGATAAAGATGGTAATTTAAGAAGAAAATAGATGGCCCATGAAGCTTTTACATCTAAAGTCTTAATACAACTATTCTTTTAAAATGTTTAGCTTTCTTTCTTTCTTTCTTTCTTTCTTTCTTTCTTTCTTTCTTTCTTTCTTTCTTTCTTTCTTTCTTTCTTTCTTTCTTTCTTTCTTTCTTTCTTTCTTTCTTTCTTTCACAACATTTCGCTATGTAGCTGATAACTGAGAGCATCACAGTTACTTAAAACAAATCAACAAGCAGGATGCAACAGGGCTGAAATGAACATCTCTTTAAGAAAAAAAAGTGCTTTTCACTACTCCCGTATGATTTCAGAAAAATGGAATTGGAATTGAACATTGATGGAGCAAAAGAACTTATGTGAAAATAAATCATAAAAGTTGTTTATTTTGTTAAGTTATGAGCCCGTCCCCCCCCCACACAGAGTAAAAGACAGACATTGATACAAATACTTAAATAAAATAATATTTTAAAAATAAATATGTTTTTATTAATGTCTAAGTTAATACTTGTTCAAGATTATACTGTGATTTTTAAAATACAGAGACAGAATTATTTGGAAAAGTAAAGATTCTGAAAGCATCGAAGTCTCCATAATAATTTAATTTAGATTTGCAGTCAATAAATTATATTTTATCATATGATATGGTTAATATAATGTTTTAAATATGATGGACTTATTATAAATGTATCTACTATAAATCTTTAAGGTGGAAACCCAACTTAATATGATATTCTACCATCTGAATCTATAGGCTATGTCATGTCAACAACTGGAAAAGTCAGCCAGCTTTTGATTATCATGTTAATTATTATGCCAACAGCAACCCCTAACCCAGACTTTTACCCCGCACACCATACTTTTACATATTCTTCCATTATTGAAAAACTGTTGATTTAATTACCTTGAACAAAACTATTAAGAATACATGTGTTTGTAAAATATATTAATTTTAGCATTTCTCATTTGCTAAAGCATTTCAAAAAGAGAAAATATTATATCGAAATAGCAAAGAATCCACTTTGCGCTCCTGCCTCATGTCGAGGATGAGCCAAATTTCCATGTGTATCTTTTGGAAAGTGCTACGGCAATTTTTGAAAAATAAGATCAAAGACCTTTCTACCCTAACCTATACGGATATGCATTTGTTCACTGTTTGTTTATATCCACTTTTCATCTTTCAACCAAATATCTACAAAGTTCAGAAGAGTTTTTCTGCCCAGCAGGGGCAGCACATGGACAGACAGGAAATGGTCCATTCATGTGCAAAGGCAGTTTCTTATGTGTCAATTTGGGCTACTGTTTATTTGAGCAAGGATTCACAGCAACACCCGAGGTGGGGAAGAGGATGGCAACCATTGTATGTGTCTCTGTAGGATAACCTCCACTAAAGCATGGCAAACAAGAAAACTCTGGACTCTTCCAGCAGACTGCAGAGGTGCTGAAGGATGGAGGCTAATGAGTCCCCGCTTCACAGTTGGGGTTTCTTTGACCCTAAACTGACTTTGATGAAGAGCAACCACATGTTTTGCTGACTCATTTAAAAAAAAAAAAAAAGTACCACTAGTGTTTACAGTACAGCATTGTGTTCCATACGAATGGATCTTATCCTTGTCGGGCACTCCAAACATCACCTGGGGGCTTGTGCCTGTTATATGGGGCTAGAAATCTGAGATAGCTCACTTTTTAGTTTTAGTTGCACAGATGTTCGTGGTCTTTCTTGATTTCACTCGGAACAATGGTATCATTGAGAGGACATGTGCAACTCATTTTTGCATTTTGTTTAGATCAAAGACACTGATATTATTATTGTTCTCTGTGTGTTTAGCTCTAGAACATGAGCACCAGTAGTAGATTCAAATGCGGTGCCATATCTGCTCTTTGTCATCTTTCCAATATCGCCTTTTTCACTTACTCATCATCAGCCCAGAAATCCTCTATACAACCTTTTTCTCTCAGAGTCAATTTTTCGACATCTAGGGTTGTGGACAGGAAAGAAAGTTCAAATGTGCATGAACAAAGCCCAAGTCATTAAAACTGATTGGTGCTTATCTGCTGCTCATGAACTATGTCACCCCTCAGGACCCCTTTAGTCTGGCCTTAATTTAGATAGTCCTGCTCCTTTAACAAAACCACAAATGTTAAACAAATATGCACATTTAACAGCGGGTAGAGTTGAATATTTTCAGTTGGAGGTTGATCCTCACTGCCTTTGAGATGATTGCTCAATTCCTCACTACCAAAACAATTATCTGCTGAATATATATAGAAATCTATCTATCCAACTATCTATCCAACTATCTATCTATCCAACTATCTATATCTATCTATCTATCTATCTATCTATCTATCTATCTATCTATCTATCTATCTATCTATCTATCTATCTATCTATCTATCTATCTATCTATCTATCTATCTATCTATCTATCTATCTATCTATCTATCTATCGATCTATCTATCTATCTATCTATCTATCTATCTATCTATCTATCTATCTATCTATCTATCTATCTATCTATCTATCTATCTATCTATCTATCTATCTATATTGACATTGAATACTGTTGTGAGTAATGAGGGGAAGTGCCTTTTGAACTTTAAAGCAAAGCACCTTACTCACATTTTCCAAAAGTGCATCCGGTGGCTCAGCTATCATCTGTAGTCAATAACTGGCCCTTTCACTGAGAGGTGATTATCATCAGACGTGGGAGAGCTGCTCTGAGAAAGAGGGCATTGAGCACAGAGTGTGCCTCTCCAACATGTGTTTCCTCAGTGTGTCACTATACATGTGGGGGTGCATATGTGTGTGTGTGTGTGTGTGTGTGAGTGAGTGTGAGAAAGAGAGTTAAACTCAGGTCCACACTCCACCCTGCTTGTTTTGTGGTTTCCATGGTGAGTGATGTTAGCATGGCACCGAACAGAATTAAGATGAACTGATTTCATTATGGGAATTTAATTTGAATATTCGCCTCTTTTCACTAAGCTTTAGAGACAGAATGCGATGTTAGGTCACCCTTAAAGGGATAGTCCAATACAAGTGAAGCTTGATTAGCATTTATTGTATAATAGTAATTGCTACAACAAATACATTTCGACTTACAATGAAAGTAAATAGGGGCAGATTTTAGATGTTTTAAAAGCAGAAATGTTGAGTTTATAATTTTATGAAGCCCTATTTGAGCTGTAAAGTTGTTTTCATCCTTTTTATGGCCGTTCTATGGGTTTAGGTGTTGTGTTGTTATGACAAAGAAACTGAATACTGAATCTTTACATAAAAAAGAAAGTGTTTGTTCATTCTAAAATCATGTTAACATGTTTAGTGTTTATGTCGTGTGTCTATTGAAACATTGAGTGTTTTAATGTTAACAGATTTTCACCATTCACTTACATACCTAATTGTAACTCAATTTTTTTCTTTTTTCTTCTTTAATATTCCTTGAATTGAAGTTTGCGTCGGTGAAGATTGCAGAAATATTAGCCTACTTGATAATTTGCTTTACTGTTTAGGCAATGAACCAAGAGTCATCAGAAATGTGAGCCTGTCAAAAATGTGATCTGTGCTTAGTATTTTTTGGCTTTTATATCCTATACTTTTTCATCTGTTGTTGCTGCCTACATTGTCGTGACATGAAAGATGGTCATTAGGCTAAAAAATACGGACCATTTATTTACTGTGAAATGACATAGTTTCCTTTGATGGGCAAAATACCAAATTACACACCAAACCACATGGACTAAATGGGACCAGGGAGCTGTCGATATTTGAAATTTCACAGGGGTGAATGAAGGTGCATTGGTTTCTTTGTGTTCATTATGGATTTAATGGAGCACAGGGGGTCAGAAAGTTAACCACAGCTGCTTGGGCCGACAGGAAATGCGAGTGCTTCTGTTTATAGTCTCTCTTCCACATTGAAGCACTTCTCTAGGCTTCAAAGCAGCTTTACTGCATGAGTATCCTGCCTGTAGGCTAAACACTCAAGGCTCTGGCCTTTGCCACACAATTACATTATTTATCTTAGAGCAGTGCTCATTTTCACTCTGAAATATTGTAGCAAACAAACACCACTGATGTTTTAGTGCAATGACTCCTGTAAATGGTTGCGATGAAGCATATTATCCAATAAAGCCAATCCCTTCATGGTCTTGCACTAATAGGCTGAGAAAGATGGATTAGATGAGTAGGAAGGTACATGTAGGAACAAAAATCATGTATGTTCCATATTTTTAACAATTTAAATCAATTGCAGTTTATTCAATTGCATTTTATTGATTATGTAGTAATTACATGGTAACACTTCATTTTAGGGTTCAATTCTCACTATTAACTAGTATTATGACCATATTCTAAGTTCCTTAATCCTATTCAATACCTAAATTTAACAACTACC